TAGATGGCCTCGTTGTCCACCATGAAGGCACAGTCGGAGTGCTCCAGGGTGGTGTGGGTGGTGAGGATGGAGTTGTAGGGCTCCACCACGGCCGTGGACACCTGCGGGGCCGGGTAGATGGAGAACTCCAGCTTGGACTTCTTGCCGTAGTCGACAGAGAGCCGCTCCATCAGCAGGGAGGTGAAGCCAGAGCCGGTGCCACCGCCAAAGCTGTGGAACACCAGGAAGCCCTGCAGCCCTGTGCACTGGTCAGCCTGCAAGGTGGGAAGAGGAAAACAAGACCAAACTGTCAGTACTTCTCCATTTCAGATGCTACTGACTTGCCCAGGAAGATACATATTTCCCCCCAAGGATCTTCGACTTTTGGGGCATCTCTGCCCTCTCCACTTCCAGCCACAGCACTCTGTGATCCAAAATGACCTGTCCTCAGGAAAAGAGACCCCCTCCTGCCCTCTCCCTTCAGCTGCTTCCTCCTATGACCCTGGCAATCTGCTTGAGGGAAGGGGGAACACCAGGAAACCCTGCAGCCCTGTGCACTGGTCAGCCTGCAAGGTGGGAAGAGGAAAACAAGACCAAACTGTCAGTACTTTTGAACTTCAGCAGCTACTGACTTGCACAGGAAGGCAAATATTCCTCATGGGATAGCAAATTATTTCCCCCAAGAATCTCAGGCCCTGTGAGTCACTATGACCAGGTTGACAGAAAGGGACCCATTCCTGCAGGCATTTGGGGACACTCAGTAGAGACAAGCAGGGGCATGTGTATTCCAGGAACCAGAAACTGCTCCTCTCTGTGGCCACATGAGGACATTAGGGTGTTCCAGCACCACAGCAGGAACCAACCGGGTCAGGGACAAGGTGGCCCTGACTTGCGTGTTGGACACTGAATCATGGTGGATACCCCTGCTCTTGGGAAACACCTCAGCAGGTTCTGGAATAAGTCAACCACAGCTTCACCCCCTTCTTTTTCCAAGAGGGTGCAGCAGGAACTTATCCCACAAGAGCCCACGGGCAGCCAGCTCAGCCTTTGATGTGCCAGGAGCTCCCCGAGCAGAGCCGGTGGCGCAGCAGGTCCGGCCACCCCGGCGCCAGCACCAGCGTGGGAACCAGAGGTTCAAAGAGCTTGGGCAGCTGCACCAGTCAAACCAGTGCTGAACGAGCACCCAAACCATCTGTCCTGCCCCCCCTGCCCTGGCCATGGGGCATCCCACCCTCCTCCCCTTGGCAAGGCTTAGCACTAGGCTAGGACAGGGACCGAAGGCCCCTCCTGGGACAGCCCCACCCTCTGCCCCAAAGTGCTGATGGGCTGAGCAGGACCTGCCCAGGGACACCTGGAGCTTCCTTTTGTCCCCTCATCCCCCGCAGGGATGGGCCCACCCCACAAGACCCCACAGGACGCTCACCAGCTTGCGGATTCGGTCAAGGACCAGGTCGATGATCTCCTTGCCGATGGTGTAGTGCCCGCGGGCGTAGTTGTTGGCAGCATCCTCCTTGCCCGTGATCAGCTGCTCGGGGTGGAAGAGCTGCCGGTACGTCCCGGTGCGCACCTCGTCTGCGGGGACAGCCCCGGGCCCCGTTAGCACCCAGCGCCCGCTGCCAGCGCCCGCCCCGCCTCAGCGCCCGCCCCCCGCGCCCTCACCGATCACCGTGGGCTCCAGGTCCACGAACACGGCCCGGGGCACGTGCTTGCCGGCGCCCGTCTCGCTGAAGAAGGTGTTGAAGGAGTCGTCCCCCCCGCCGATGGTCTTGTCGCTGGGCATCTGCCCGTCGGGCTGGATGCCGTGCTCCAGGCAGTACAGCTCCCAGCACGCATTGCCGATCTGCACGCCCGCTTGGCCCACGTGGATGGAGATGCACTCGCGCTGTGGGGGCACACACGGCACCGGGTCACCCCTTTTGTCCCACCCCAGCACTCACCGGGCTGGGAAGAGCCCCTCCCCAGGGTTAGATGGGGCCTGATCCTGCCCAGACCCATAGCAGGGAGTGCTCAGTTCTGGGGGTCCCATCCTGTCCCTCCCCATCGAGACGTGAGACTCTCCCCACTGAGCGGCAGAGCGATAACGCCGTGGGCACAGGCTCAGCCCCCCCAAACCCCGGTTGTTCCCGTGCTTGCGTAGGGCTGACCCAGCACCATCCCAAACTCCAGCTGGAGACATCCAGGAGCTGAGGAGAGAGGTGCGGAGGGATCCCCGCGTTCGAGGCTAGACTGGGGCTGCCAGTGTGCACAGCCCTAAGGGGTACCAGGCACACAGTGGGTGTTCAGCTCTGGGGGACCCATCCTGCCCCCCAGTGAGGCGGGACCCTGCACTGGCTGGGGCCATTCATGCCACCACCACCTCCCGCGAGCCGAGAATTGGGGTTCCCTAGGGTTATTCCCGGTCCCCACCATTCCCAGTGCCCTCCGCCCGCGGATCACACAGCGACAGGGACACTTCAGCCCTTTTCTCAGCGGGCTGTTCATCACTTCCCGCTTCGCGGGCAACCTTGGACCTCAAGCAATGTGGCGCCACTCTCTTCTCCCCCAGCCCTTGCACAATCCCCGGACCGTCCCAGTCCCGCCGCGGCCCTTAGCCGCGGTTCTGGGTGCCCGGCTGGCAGCCAGCTCCACCCGGGACAAGAGCAAACTCAGGTGACCGGGAGGATTTTCCCCGTGGCAGCCGCTCCTGGCTGAGAGCATGGGACCTGCCCTCCCTGAATCGCCCCACGCCGACGTGACTCACTCACGCGTGTCCCGGCGAACAGAGCCGGGAGAAGGCGGCATGGGGGTCCCCCTAAACCCCCTCGCGGCCGGCTTCTCTCCCCAGGGGTGCTGTGGGCACGTGTTTAGAACCTGCGTGGGAGCGCAGGACGCGCAGAGACCCCCGGCAGGGAGCCCGAGGGGGATCGGCACAGCCCGAGGGTGGAAGCACCCCGAGCAGCGATCCCCAGTTCCGGGAGACACACACATCCCCACCTCGGGTCCTGCCCAGGACGAGCCAGAACTCGGCAACCCCACGGAGCGTCCTGAACACGCGAGGAGCTCCCAACCCCTCCAGAGCACAGCCCCGCTGTGCTGGGGACATGGGGGGGACCTAGCACGCACCCGCCCCTCAGCCCCTCGCGCTGCCCCGGGGGTCCCGCACTCCCAGGGGGTCCCACGCCACGCGGTGTCCCCCCATGACCCCGCCACGCCCCCAGCCCTCACCATGGCCGCTCGCTGCCCGAACTGTTACGAAGCCGTCGAGGAGGGAGGCAGGGGCTGCCCCGTTTGGCCCCCCGAGTTATACCCCAGGGGCGGGGCTTCCAGGGGGCGGGGACAGTAGGAGGGGCCATTGGGAGTTTGCTCCGCCCCTCCGAGTCACGCAGCATTCTGGCCACGCCTCCTCTCCCCGCCTCGATTCTGATTGGCCGGTTCGAAAGTTGGCGAGGGTGGGTGGGCGGTGACGTCAGCAGAACGGAATGCGGCGGGCGGGAGGCGGGGAAGAGGCGGGGCTTTGTGATGAAATGGGCGTGGTCATGGGCGGGGAAAGGGGCGGGGACTGAGGGGCGGAGGGTTGGGGGTCCCGAGAGTTGGGAGGGGGCTCGGCGGGCAGACAAGGGGCGATTGGGGGGTCAGAAGGGTCGGAAGGCATTAGGGGCAACCCAGGCGGGGCCGGGGGAACTTTTGGGTGAGGGGGCTTTAGGGGGGGCTTTACCGGAGGCTTTAGAGGCGAGGGGCTTTGCGGTATTGGGGCGGGGGATTCAGTCGGCGGCAGGATGCGTCCCTGAAGCCCCCGGCCTCTGCCTCAGGTGCTGCATCTGACCATTCCCCCCCGGCCTCGCCTGGGCTGGAGGTCTCGGGGGTCCGGTAACCCCTCATGGCGCCCCCGTCCTCATCCCGGTCCCGTTCCCGTGGGAAGCCCCGCGGGCTCCCGTCGCGCCGGCTCCTGTGCCCGCCACCGCCCTGTTCCCTGCCAGCCCCGGGGCTGCTCCCCGGGGGAACCCACGTGGGGCAGTTCCTGTGGGGCAGGACGGACGGGGCCGGGGGAACATCTCACACCCACCCCCGGGGTGCAGGGCCCTGTCCCATCCTGCCTCCCCCGCTCTGGGTCGGTTTGAAGAGGATAGGAGTCGCGTTCCAAAGGGCCAGAGATAGGTTTGGGACAGCATGGGGACATTGGGGTTGGCCCCGAGACAGAATTACAGACCCCACACTCCACGGGCAACATCGTGTCCCGCCAGTCGTGGGCACCCGCAT